TTTCATAACTTTACCTGTTTAACCTGAAGTAGTTAGACAGGCTGGAGCACAAATGCAGTTCCTGTATTTGTTACTGTATTAGTAATATATTCCACTGTCATGTCATTCTCTTTATTATCTGTTAAGGGGTTATGTTGAAACTAAATATAATTAAAATATATTCAGCATTGCTGAATGTGGCAGAAAGACCATTTTAGCACTGCATTTTCAATTTTTATATTTTCACAGTGATATTAATCACTGTGCAATATTTTCAGTATTGTATCAAAGTCAGTGTAAATTAAAGGCCTCGGGGAGACAGAATTTAAATCGTTGTATTGTACATACAACAAGATTAGTACAACAAGTACAAACTGTGAGGCACTTGTTCCCGGCAGTAAATCAAATGTCTGTGCACTGTGGTTACCCACACCTACTGCTTTTAATGACTTTTACAAACAGAAGCATAAAAACATCAGTGAAAGTACTTGAGCTTTTTGAGATTTTAGTTTTATTACTATTTTAACATGCTGAATGGATGTCATGATGACGGTATATTATTTTTTGTATCATGTTACATGAACATGACCACATAATATTAAGAGCTTACTGTAATAGCATTTTTGCAAATAGCAGTTTTAAACATTCTCTACAGCTTTTACTTTTAATGATCTAAATGCAACTGTTACCAAACTCACCTATGTCAGCATATACAGAAGCCTCCTCTGACCCAGCTTTTGTCAACTTCACCCCTGCATGAAAAGAGGGCACAGTTACCATACCAACCCATACAACTATGCACAAAACCTGTGTCACTGAGCCAGAAAACAGAGAGAACCAGAGAGATGTAACTTTTTTTTCCCTCCCCTTGCACTCCTTAGACACTGAATGCCTAATTTGTATGGATTAAATTATATATAAGCACTGGTATTCCCGAATAGTTTTCTGCTGGGAAATGTTTTCCCAATCCTGGAGCAATATTTTTAATAAGTTTTAAAAATCCTTCATTTAGTATTCATTACAAAGTAACCTATAATCCTACACTGCACAAGGACATAAATTAGCCTTGTACAACGTTTCAGTTCACTTGCAAATTAGTTATCATGCCATGTCCAACCTTGCCATTAAATTCAACCTTGATAAATGCTAGTCCTGCTTCTCCATGAAAGCTGTCATTTAAACTTGTGTTGTAGCATTGGATCATTATTAACGGTTTTTACTATTCATCTACCAGTCAAAGTTTTTAATCTTAAAGTACTTAAGCAATTAAGTGTTAAGTTATTCTGTTAACTTTCAATATTAACTAAATGTTGAACAATATTGCTATATTAATAAATTTAAATTGAGCTGAAACTGTTTATGTTCATGTTTATATATATAGATAACATTACTCTAATAGTCTGCAGGAAAAAACAAGATTCAACTAAATATTAAGAACAAAAAGAACAGCATTTATTTGAATTAGAAATCTTTTGAAACATTATAAAAAACTTTACTGTTACTTACTTTCCTGTGTTTGACAGGCGGCTTCCCATCAGGTCCAAAAACTGAGCAGGTGTTATAGAGCTTTCCTCCATCCTTCTCAGGAATGGAACCTACAACAAAGACACAGTCATGTAAGGGACATGGAAATTAATGGCATCAAACACACTAACATGCTGGTTTGTTTCTGAGGGTCTCACCGCCCACTAAATAGACCCCACAATCCCTGGCTGCCTCCGACAACACCCGTGTGGACTCTCCTGGGATCTTCTCAGCATACTCAGCAAAGAACCCGGTTCCATAAGGGGAGTTGAAGCACTCCTGCAAACAAACATATATAATGGATTATTAAATGCATTTTTTTTATAAACCAATATTAATATAGTAGTCATAACCCTACAACTTTTGCACCTTGTCCTGCAGCCTTCTTCACAAGTTTTTGTGCTCTTCCCAAGTTGTCCGCCTTGATCTTTGACACACGTAACTGAACCACAGCCAGACTAAACTCTAGAGGGCAGAAGATCAGTTGTTTAGTTATTAGCTGCTGCAGGATCAATGATTCACAACACTTTCAAGGAGCAGCCTCCTTTACTGGATTTTGTTTTGGGACTCTGCACTTTTGTCAAGGGAGGTGCAGTCAAAACAAAGAGTTTTTAGTTTCAGTGTAGTTTTGAATGATTGAAGTTAAATGCACAGTCAAAACATTATCTGTATGAACCACATCTGCAGTCAAAACATAATATAATATTTTTAAAGTATTTTTACATTGTAAAATATTTTTATGTAATTTAATACTCCAGTCATTACTCCAGACTTGCAGCATCACAGGATCTTGTAATGAATTACAGTTTTCCTTCTTAATGTTCGCTCATTTCGAATATGGGCAGACTCAGATGACACTGAGACATTGTTAAAAAACACAATCACAAATGATACGATACATATAGAGGGTTATGTCCTTAGAATAGATGGCTTTTCAGTTATTGGCTATTCAATTATTTCTGCAAAACCAAGTCAAGCCATCACATTGCTCATTGATTTGCTTCACAATTGCACCAAATCTGAACAGGTTTTAATGGATGATTTAAACTGGGACTGGATATCACAATCATGAGACCCACTCAAGGACATTTTTAACTCTTTGTCTGGAACAATTTATCAGTTCTCCAACCGCATTATATGAAAAAAATAAATCTTCTTTACTTGATGTTGTTGAAACAAATGTACCACGTGGTTTCTCTGCAGCTGGAGTTTCTTTATAACAATGTCAGTAATCACTGTGAAATATCTTATGTGAGAAATTTTAAAACGCGTAAGAGTAGACCTCATTTTATTTATAAAGACAATTTAGACATTTCAATGAATAAGCTTTTTCCACAATGTGTAACAGTGATTCATATATTATGGATGACGATGACGTAGAATAAGCTTAGGAATATTTTAAATACCCCCCTTAGCTATTTGTGATAATCATGCTCCTTTCAGAAGATTCAGGATAAGTGGCAGAAAAAACCCTTGGTTTAATGAATCCATTTCAGCCTTTATTAGACAAAAAAAAATCATGCATAACCATTAAGCATAAGTAAAGAAAACAGTAGACTGGACACATTATAGAACATTAAGAAATAAGTGAGATTATTATATTAATTTGATAAAT